TCACCGCTATGATGGGTGTGCCCGAAGACGCGACCTTGGTGCTCTCCATCGCGGAGGTATGAGGAGAGAGGATTTCCCGAGGTCGGCTGGATGGTAGCGCAGCCGCTAATCCATGAATGGCCTAGCTCTAATTACCCTTACTAATCCCAGCGCATCCCCGCCATAGCTCCAACCCTCAAAATCTGATCTCTCCAGCCTCATAATTGTCCATTGTCGAGATAGGCCGCCCACTCAAATTTCATTATGTCGTCAGCGCCACCCAGAACCATAATTGATCTTCCGATCGAACTCATCGAGATGATCGGAATGAATCTCCTTGAATATGCTCCATACAACGATTCCGTCGCACCAGTCATACCGCGATTACTGGTGGTGAGTTGCCAGGCAGTGTACAACACCCGTCTAGCATGTCGAGGTCTCAGTAACGCTTTGAAAAAAGCGTTCCTAGAGGTCCTACATGATGTACCCTTCCAATGCACTGAGGAGCATCTGGGCCGTTTGACGCGATTGTTGCAGCTTCCCTGGGTGTCGCAGTCGTTCAAACAGCTCACTATCGGCGGTGCCAAGATAGCCAAAACACCCATACAACGATCCCGGGTGGTCTGGATACAGGACCATCTGGCGGACGCTTTCAAGACAATTCTCAGCATTGCGCCTCGTTTGGAAAGCATTAGATGTGTCCCAATCTTTGAGTCTTTTAAGCCAAACGATCCCCGTGACTCTTATGACAAAGACGTCGCCAATGAAACTATTCCAGAACGAAGGCAGGGTCCCTTCCGCTCTATAGACATCTTTGGAGTACGTCAAATCACCCATCGTTTCCACAGATAGTCTCAAAATAGAGGCTAACACGTGAACGTAGAAACTTTACACATCGATACACGAAAGCGGACACGCGGAAGCTCTTAGGTCGCTTTTGTTAGGATTCGACTACAGGGGAACACACAGAGTCTCAGCGCCGTATGAGATATCGTACCGCGGTCGAATAAAACTCTCCCCGTTCCTTGCGAAGCCACTACCCCATCTCCAACACCTCGTCCTCGACTTGGGATGTCTACGATACGGCGCTGGCATTTCCAGTTCGACCCGTATGCCAGTCCTCGAGTCGTTGACGATCGTATACACAACGTTCCACAATAACAGCGAACGGAATGTCGGGCCGTGGCCGGAGGGAAACCTGGACCTTCTGGCAAAGACTCAACCTCGACGGCTCGTGCTCACCAGCTATAGGTACATCACTCGAGAGGTACACGAGCCTCGAGAGAAGATTCTTGCTATTGTCCGTGCATTCAGCCACAGGCAAGGGCCACTACCGTGCTTGGAATTGCGCGACATGGATGTCGAATTGGATTACCATCGGGACGAACGGCCGATGCCAGCAGATACTTGGAAGTTCCCGGGGGACTTTCGCATCGCAGAGTTGAAGATTGCAAACGTGACGTGGTACCGACATGTGATCCATCGTGGCAGGTCAGAGCGCCGTGGCTGGTGCGAGACGGGTTGGGAACTGTTTCCTCAAATTTGTGACGCGTCAGATGTCGTACGTGTACGCGTGTGTGACGGGTCGGAGCCCATTGAAGAATACTTTCTCGAAAGACCATATGAAGATTTGCATATTGATGGCAATAGCACGGATCATGATACCGAGACAGATCGCAGCACCACCGAAGACGGATTCGATGATTCAGATCGGTCCACAGACGAAGATGAAGATGACGACGATGACGAGGACGAAGACGAAGACGAAGATGAAGATGACGACGATGACAATGACGCAATGGACGAGGCATAGGCTATGATGGTTATGCATAGCCACTGCTTTCGATTTGATACAAGGAGTCCATGTGCATAGTGTTGGCGCAGCTTTACGTTCGGTGACAGCTTCAACCTCCGCCAGGCTTCTTCAGCGCACCACCAAGAATACTCGGATCAAGCATCTTGGCTTCAGGCACGTCGACACCACATCGCACCCACATGCTGCTCCAAAGCGCACCAACTGCTCTTTCTTCGGGCATGAAAACGACCGTGTTCACGTACGATCGTGTCGTGTTATAGCAGTCTGGCATGTTGAATAGTTGCGCCTCGCAGTTGTCGCCTTTGTTCGAATAGAACACGCCGCATCGCGCTTCGCTTGGGAGAGTGATGCATGTGCCGTTCTTCCACGTTTCGAGAGGCGGCGGAAAGTATGTCTTTTGCAGGAGTTCGCCGCGGCAATGCTTAGGGCCGCCTGCACCGGAGTATGTAAGAGCGAGGATTGGTATTTGTGGGGTTGTCGGCGGTCGAGGCTTAGGCTTGACGGACGGTTTTGGCGTAGCAATAGGCCCCAAGACACCTTCAGCACTCCAACTCGCGCTCGTTTGTGGTTCCGGTGTGAAGCCAATCATCCCGTCCTGGGTTTCGGTCATCGTTGTGGGTACGAGCGTTGCGCCAGACACGATGCTGCTGCCGTTGTACACATCGCCACGGTCGAAGTCAGTGCCGTTCAACAGCGCCTTCGCCGCGACGATATCATCGCCATCTCCGACTCTTGCAGCTTGCGCGAGGTTGATCTGTATGACTGGTGTGGTTGGTGCGCGTACTTCGATGGCGGTCGCTAGCGAGATTGCGATGAAGAGGAGGAGGGAGACGGACGATGCGATGAGTATGATGCGCCGCGGTATGGACGACATCGCGGTGGTATTACATTACTTTTGGAGATTTGGGAGGTTGAAGGGGTATGCGACAATGTCGAAGTTCGTGGGCGACGCCAAGAAAGCATCGGGGGTTGCTACACTACGCGTTTCATCCCCAAGTCCTCTCCAGACATCGTCGCAGGCATGTAGGCAACTTTCCCACACTTCCCTGACAGCTGTATACACGTTCTTTACTTCATTCGGACATGTGATCTTGCGCGAGTGTGCAATCTCGATAGAGCAGCGGCTTAGACCGACATCTGTGGTTCAGTCACGATCCATCCCCTGACCCTTATACAGCTCGGTACCAGCCTTTGTGGGCTATTGCTTGGATTACACACCTTGTTTACATATAGGCTTTCCATTGTCGTGTAGCGAAAGCTGCACTAACGATTCGATATTCTGGTTCCAATGAATAGGGTAACGGCCGTCTTCCACTCCACGAAAAAGTGAGAGATTCACTGGAATGACCGCCATTGGTCCAAGCTCATGACATTCATTCTAGATATTGACGTGTAAACACAGATCACTGAGTACTAATCTTCCGATCACTTGCTGTTGCCTAAGCACTGGTCTGTCCCCTGAGCGATTTATGTCTCGGTTATCTCCTGTCAACCGTACTTAGCCACCCTCAACCCATAGACCCGTCTACCTTAGACTATTACCCTCGATATCGACGATTAACCTACGCCGAATTCATCTACACCTCGATGAAAGTAGGCGCGGTCGAGACCCCGTCCTCGATTCCGGACATGGCTGCCGAGCTCGTGGACTCAAACCGACGAGCGCTGGCGTTAGCCCTCAAGAAAACCGAAGCCAACAATTCGAACACGTCTGCCGCTCGACTTGAGATGATGAAAGCCGAGTCTAGATTCCAATCGCTGAAGCGTCGTCAAAGGGCACTACGTTATGAAGAATATACTGCTGCTAAACGATACGGCCAGTCTTGGTGTCAAAGCCTCTCTCAAGGTCTCTTTGATAAGCTTCCTCGCGAGTTGCGAGACATGATCTATGACTACCTTCTCCCTCATTCAGCAGAAGTGTCACTCCTGGGTCAGGATTGGCGCGTTTCCTCCGGCCCTAGATGGACGTTCAGCTCGTGGAACGACAGTGAACTCGATCCCATCCCTCATTATCTAAGGAGTGAGTTTATGGGCACGGCTTTCCAGAAAGAGATCTTGGAAGAAGTTCACAGACGCGCAAAACATAGCATTTATCCCCCGAACAATTTGGAGGAGTTTTTGGAAAATGGCCTGCCGCTAGCATCACTTCCGCTGCGGGCTTTCGACTTCATTCGCTCACTCACTGTGCTGCTATCCTTCCAAGCCCATCAGGATGTCAACAAACTCACTTGGCGCAGAACGGGACAGTTTGAGCTTAGACAACACCTTGAAGGAAATCCTCAACGCTTGGAATCTGTCGCTACCGAGCGTGACTTCAACGAAAAGGTCAAAGCGCTTGCTGCCATCGCCAAAATCAAGCGATTGAACAAGCTCGAACTGCATATCTTGATTCGCACCTGGACGCCTACAGGAGCGAGAGGCTTTGAGCGAGCTCTGGTTCCCTTTGTGCATGATCTGCAAGACCACGGAGTGAAGGTTGACGGGGAAGTTCAGTCATATCGACGTGATTCCCGTCGTAACACTGATATCTACTCTAGCTGGAAATGTGACTTTACCCGTCCGAGGTCGCGCTAGAAAAGCCACCGACTCAAGACTGGTGTCTTAGTAAGTAACTAGCCTCATGGATATCTTGCATGTGCTTATCATCAAATAGAACCGGGTTTGAATACGTTGAGTCTATCGATACAGTGGAAGCTCGATGTTGTCGTAAGATTTCGTGTTCTCTAGGATCTCTATTCCTATCACTGCGGCTCCTCAACAAAACAATGTAGTCACCACGCGGAAAGGTATTGTGAGATGGCTTCAGGGGTGTGGTCTTGCTATGCCATCGGGTGGTGTAAACGCGCTCGTAAATATATGCGCTCGTACAAGAGCTGTTCTCAAACACACGACCAGCGATACATGGCATCTTTGACACATTAAACGAGAACTATTTTCATTAGTACAACATTTGTTCCGGTGTGTATTTCCGTTACTGATGACACTGCATCGTTCGGCGCCCTTTCACGAAGTTGTTGTGAAACCAAATGTGATATTTGAGCAAAGACTAATCTCTTACAAGAATGTGAAGCAGTGCGCGAGCCTAGCACCATGTGGTACACGGTGATGCTATATTCCCCTATTCTCACTGACTCCTTCTAAGCTGCACCACACTGCACGTAGAAACACGTGCGCGTGTAGCGCTCATACCTCTTGTCTTCTAGATCTAACATGCGCGCTTGGGTGAAAAAATGGTTTCTAGAGTAAATTTATCAGGGGGACTTTCGAAAGGAGCGGCGATAGCAGCTTCCACCTGGCCCGCTGACAGCAACATGCTCCGATCATAGTTAACTGTTTCGGTATCCCCCGGCTGCGGGTATACGTTCCTGCCCCGCTTCTCGTACGAAACAACGACCTTGCAATCCTTTTCGACAAGCGTTTGGATATGCGGGAGCAGTACAGCTTTGTACCTGTAAAGCGCAATCTTCGTCCGCACACTGACATTAAGTGTGACGCTCATTCTGGAAACTTGTGCTGTTGCCGCGAGATCGCCAAGCCAACTCACCTGGCTCTCGAAGCGTTCCCTCTTTAAATTAGCCTCTGCTGTCATGTGACGAGCTATCACATAGTCCTGGGGGCGTTGCGCAAAATCCATATAGTCCCGGCCAGGTGGGACAAGATGGTAGGGGATGGGAATGAATATGTCGACTGAAAGCGTTCGGAGGAAATCGAGGGGTCGGAAGGGCGCGTCTCTCAAGGGGCCAACACCAAGTAGGAAAGGAACGTCATCGATGTGCCAGACGTTGTAGGAGGCATGCCTGTTGAACTCTTCCGCGAATTCGATCATGAATTCCTTTCCCATATACTTCTCTTTAAAGTAGTGCGCAAATTTGTTGTCGAGAACGCGAGCCTGGCCGCGACGGTCACTGTGATCAACGTGGAAGTAGTACCAGTTTCCTTCGTTATCGGGCAGGTCCTTTCCGCGTTGTATGATGCTGACATCTGGAGCCCCACCCATGAGATGGAAGTAAACCATGTCTCGCAATTCGCGGGCAGAGAGACGTTCGAACATCTCGGCGGCGAACTGGCGGTTCAATATGCAGGTGTAGTCATCAGTTGACTTGCCGAAGTTGCTTGAAGGAAATGCGACGTCAGTGATCAATCTGGGTTGTGTTGGAGTCTCACACTTACGTATTCAAGCTTCGCTTCTTGCGCTGAAGTGTGCTTCGCGTGCTTTGAAGTGCACGCAGCTTAGTCTCAAGCTCTTCTATCTCTTTGTCATTCGCACTATTCCTGCAATAGCTTTGTGAGCATCTGAAGAATGAGAATTAGCGATTCACTTACAGCTCTTGATTATCCCTTCGTTTCTGTATGATGCTGCGCAGTTGTGAGTTGCTGGAAAGCTGCTTGTCCGCACATCTACGCCGACTTACAATGAGATTGCCTTAGCCTTGGTCTTGAGTGGATTTCGGGGGACCATCTTGGCAGTCTCGCGATACTCGTGGTATGGCGGTAGCGATTGGAGTGGAAGGTGTAGTCCAGGCGCCTTAAGTTGAGCTATGTAGGGCTATCACGATGTACAGTTATATGTGCTTAGCTAGTAACGTGATAAGTCGCGAGCTAAGTAGGCGCACGAGGACCGCGATCTAGGCAAACACTGGGCTCGACGTACGTGCTCGCGTCGTGAATGATGAGTCTGGTCTAGTCGCAATCCCTTTCGCGAAATGTACTAGGCTGAGTAGAATGAAGCAGCCCGGTGAACAGCGGATGGAAGTGCATAGCAATATGGGAACGACAAAACCCTGTCTTCAAATCAATATATCCGGTGCTTGTCCAACGAAACAATACTCCACTGACAGACTGGACTTTCAACCCTCTTCAAGCACCCCCACCCTCAGCCTTCTCCTTCGCCTTATCCAAATCCAACGGCACCCTAACAACAATCTTACCCCTCGCCCTCCCCGTCTTCAACTTCTCAAACGCCTTCGGCGCATCCTCCCACTCAAACACCTCATCAACCACAGCCTTGACCTTCCCCTCCTTCATCCATTCACCAATCTGGCTCAGCGCATCCGACGACGGCTTCGCCATCAACAACTGATAGCCGTTCTTGCCGCCGCCCAAAAACCCGGGTAACAGCATATTGGACCCCACACTCTTGATACTAGCAACGCTCATCCCCGCGCCGATCTGCACGAACTTGCCGGCTGGAGTGAGGAAAGCGGAGGCGGCTTTGTAGAGGTTGGGTGGTGTGCCGATGTTGTCGACGACGAGGGTGTAGGTCTGGCCTTTGGACGAGAGTGTTTCGATAACATCGCTGGTTTTGTAGTCGATGACTTCGTCGGCGCCTAGGCTCTTGCAGAGGTCGACGTTGGGTGTTGAGCAGGTGGTCGTCACGTGGCAACCCAGCGCTTTCGCGATCTGGATGCCGTACACACCCGTTCCGCCTGAGCCGCCATTGATGAAGACTTTGTCGCCGCTTTTGACGTTTGGAGCGATGGCTTGGTATCTGGAGATGGGGTTAGCATGGCTTTCAGCTTCGTGAGTAGCCTGCCCCCCGCCTTACTCGGTCAGCCCCACGATGCCGACGCCTGCTGCGTCTTCGACCTTCACGCCTTCTGGTAACCTTGCCAACATTTGTCTATCCACGGCTACGTATTGCGCCATGCTTCCTCCCGTTAGCGCACCGACTTTTGCGCCAAAGACAAATTCGCCAATCTGGTACTCGTCGACTTTCTTGCCTACTTTGGCGACTTTGCCACAAAAGTCGGCACCGGGGGTGATATCAGAGCCCACAAGCCGCAGTGGCATTGGGCCTTCCGTGACTTTGTGGTCGACGGGATTGATCGCCATGGCGTGAACTTGGACAAGAATCTGTTCATCATGAAGCACTGGTTGTGGCGCGGCCTCATTGATCTGGAGGTTCTTCTCGATGCCGCCTTTGGTGCTGTTGTACTGCCAGGCTCTCATCGTGGACGTCATATTGCTGTTTGATCGTAACGGAGCTTGTCGCGATAAATTTCCGATAGATTTGATGCCGCTGATGCGCGCTGTCCTTGTTATCTTATAGCGTGGAAACAGGCATGCGTCATGACGATTTGCGTTGAGCGGGGCAAGCGCCACCACCGCCTGTCAGCACGAGCTTTGTGAGTAGACACCCATCTATCGGAGCTCCATTCAGGCGACCGAAGAGATCGCGCAGATGGAGCCTGGGTAGGACACCTACATCGTGGAATCCATTTAGGTGGGTATGCCTCCTTGCCCAATGGGTTGGCTTACTTGCGCTCGGTCGATCAAGGGGCATGCCCACATTGTCACCTAGCCCGATCGGGCGCATTCTGCGCAGCGGCAGCAGGCTCATCATGAGTTCCGGAAAGAGATCAATGTCAAGAGATGGAGTATAAGCGAGATCATTGTTTGTTTCACGATGATTTTTAAATTGATCTGTCCTGCACATCGATGTGGAACTGCAGGCCTAACAGCCGCAGCTCAGGCCGCCCTTTCGCCCTGCATGAAGCCTCTTACGCGTATGTGACAAACATCTGCTCAAAGCCAGTGACGTTCCACACGCCAGTAATTGTGTTGAGCGTCAAGTTGGTTGGAGTGGTTGGACCACGTTGAAGCGCACCGCTCTCGACATGACCGCCTGCAGCAACTACAGTTCCGTTCGTCCTTTCCAAATGATTGGCACCAGCCTTGACGGTGAAGTTCGCGAGGCTGACATCGAAGGGGTTGCGAGACGCGACGGATGGAGAGCCTAGATATCATCAGCATGTGAGGCATGGTAAAGGTTATCATGTATCGACTTACCGTAGTACTGCGCATTGAGCTCCTCAGGAGAGATGAACAGCTCGTAGTACCCTCTGTAGTAGCCTTCAGTCCACTGAAGCTCCCGGTTATCACGCACGAGCGCTGCGGACCGGTCACTCGAATTCGCAATAGACCTGCCAGCGCCATAACCGCTAGAAGAGACGGCCGTGCCAGCGAACTCGACGCCGATGGCACCGGCACCAGTCGCCTGGTCGTATGGGGTCTCATCAAGCCAAACAAGATCAGACACCCAGTTGGCATGAGAATCACCAGCCAAGAACGCAGTGTTCGGGATCTCGTTGCTGTAAAGGTGATGAAGAGTGCGGTTGCGGTTGGCGGTGTATCCGTCCCATTGATCCGCATTCAACTCGTTGCTGTACACTGCGCTGTTGTTCATTCGGGAGAAGATGATCTGGTTGCCGATGATCCTCCAGGTAGCACCGCGTTCATGCGACTCGGACAGCTGGTTGTAGAACCAGTGTTCCTGGCGGCTACCCATGAGCGAGCGGCCAGCGTCATCCTTGAGATCCTCGATGTAGTCGTCGTTCCAATTCAGGGTCGTGATGGATCGATCGTAGTTGCGAGTGTCGAGCATGATCAGGTCAAAGAGTTTGCCCATCTTGAAGTTGCGCCAGATGCGAAGGTTGTCATCCATGTCGACCTGGCGAATGCTGCGGCCGTCATTAGCAGAATCAGTGACGATCAAAGCGAGATACGTACGGCATCCACTCGAAGTAGGCGCGAACAGCGTTCATCTTCCTGGAGTCAACGCTCACTCCTCCGAACTTCTTGAAGCTTTGTTCAGTGTTGTTCATGCCGCTAAATCCATCGCGATAACCGTTGTTTGCAACCTCTGTCCACCCGTTAGTTGAGTAAAGGGGTGCCATGCCAAGCAACATACCATGATCATCCCATGTTGGAATCCAAGCAAAGTTCTGGTGAGCAAGACGTAGGTCATCATCGGTGCGGTACTGGCCAATCCTCGTTCGGTAGTCTCCGAGGCGAATCAGTAGCTGTCAAATCCAATGATCAGTTGCGTACGAACCGTAAAGTGTGACGATCTCGCGCGACGGGTTCGTGGCGCGCTGGTCTTGGCCGAGCTTGCCCTTGGTGGACTCATAGATGTAATCACCAAGATGAACCTTCATCTCCAGATTAGCAGAGTCACGAATGCACGTAATCATCATACTTACGAAGAAGTCAACTTGATCTTTCCTGGCAGCATTGCCGTACGCGTTGAAGTAACCGTTCTGCCAGTTAGAACAGGAGAAGATAGCAAGACCAACTTTGGAAACTTCGTCGTCTTCGTCGGGGCTGGTCTTGGTCCTGCCGAGTGGGCTCTTGTTGGAACTACCACAAACGTTGAACTGGTAGTAGTACTGGGTGAATGGGGACAGGTTCTTTGCTTCAATCTTCTTAGAGTTAGCTTATCACTCGACATACCCGTGGCTTAGGTCTTACCTTGACGGTGTAGTCAATGTCGGAAGTGGTGTATGCTTGGCCTTGATCGACGATGCTGGAGAAGTTGCCGTCGGTACCAACGCGGTAGTCCACGCAAATGGGGTTTGGTGAGGCCTTGATGTACTTCTCCGTCTCGTGATTGTAGAAGGCTACATTACCCGTAACAGTCACGTTCGATCTGTCGTTCTCGAGAGATGGCGCAATGCGTGTCCAGAGAATGACAGAGTCGGGATAAGGATCTCCAGAGGCGACGCCGTGCGTAAAGCTTAGCTGAGCCGGATCCCACGGAGTCGCCCGCTTGATGAGGCTTCTCTTTGCGACCTTCGGGACATCGATGCCAAGGCCTTCGTGTCGGCGAGAAGGCGAGTGGTAGTTCAGGTTGCCATCGAAAGATGCACACACGAGCGAGGCTAGAGGCGCCGCTGCAAGAAGGATTGAAAGCATTGCGAGGATCGAAGAAGCTTCGGTGACTCTCTTCTTAGTTTTCAAATTCCCGAGACTTCAGAAAGCTTAAGTACTTCCATCGCACTTCAACGTGCCGTCCTTCGCGTACAATTTCATCGCCTTCGTACTACTCCGGCCGCCAACATTACCGCATCGTGCATTCAGTACAGTTCTGACAGCAGCTGTGGCCAATCGCATAGAGTGCATTGTAAGTGTGTAAAAGAGTGCCTGTTGATCGTCAACCGCGACATATGCACGATGCGCATGTGCCGGGAGGATGAGCTGAGATTGGCCGAGCGCGACTTCATCCCGCTGGACAGGCTAGCCCGTTGTGGGGATATGCAGCGCGTCGAACGTCGTTGATCCTGGCATGACATACAGTGCGTGAGGATTCAACGCGACGATGCGGAACTGTAAGGTGCAGTCTTTGGGGTGACAGGAGAAGAGGGGTGGAGGGTTGCTTGGCTTTCCAGCTCCCAGTCCGCGGAAAGAGATGGCGCTAAGATTAGAAGGGTTTAGCGCCAACCGCGCCGCATGCTAACCCTGGAGAACTCCATCGTCCATTCCTTCGACATCCACCCCGTCTAGCTTTCCGAAGAACTCCTGGGTCTCTCTCTCATTCCTGACCTACACTTGCTGTACGTACGAGTTGCAGTGCAGATTTTGCCTTTCTTTCGATGCCCAATTTTCCGCTTCTAAAGCGCTTGCTTGCTTCTCTATCTTGATTCAACCAATCATTGCATCGTTCACACCCCGCTGTACACG